GTATATATATATATATATATATATATATCGATGTAGCGCCGGAGAATGAATGGAAAATCTTTTTTTTTCTTTCTTTTTTTTGGTGAAGGGGGGGATATTATACGAAGTGTTGGAGATCGCTGCTTGGTGCTGTTATGAAGGTTCGTGGAATATGGATGGATATGAGATGAATGGATGGAGGAGGGCTTCTGCATACGGAGAGGTTTAGATGGATATGAAGAGGTGGAGAGGTTGTGTTGGTATATCCACAGAAGGTGTGCACACAGAGACTTTGGTACGAAGATCAAGTGGTTTTGTATTCGTTGTATTGTTAAGTCTGAGGAAAGGAGCTTCTTGCTGCAAGGGGCAGTGGTAGGTGCCAAGGCTGTTACACGTGACTGCCAAGGCCCTATCCCATTCCTCAGTCCATCATTCCCACAGGTTGAGATGAGGATGAGGATGAGGATGAGGATGAGGGTGAGTCGTGTCAATGAAGATAGGCGACGACTAGCTACCCCTTCCCCCCCTTCTTTTTCTTTTGTCTTGTTTTTTTTTTTTCGGACCGTATTTTCTCTTGCTTCGTTTCCTGGAGAATATCCCGTTTCTGAGCCGTTATCGATTCTTAGATTCACAGATTCACAGATGGATAATGAGCGCTTGGTTGGGGGGGGGGTTAAGGAACTGAAAACCTCGGATTTGGAATTTGAATTTCTCGAAAGGAACTAGGAAACTGGAAAATAGCAGCTCTTCGTTTTTAAAGGCTTACAAACCCAACTCCCATCAGGCTTTATTTTCCTTGAACGTACGGGCCTTGGTTTCATCGTTGAGCCTTGGATGTAAAACTTGCCTGAATCGCTCAATTTCTATTTGCGGCTGAATAGTTGTAGTAAATGGGCGAGCGATCTGCGTCATTCTCGTTTGGATTAAATAAGTTAACGGAAGACATTCATCTTCGGACTTCGGGAGTTGAATCTCTAAGCTCCGTTTCTGCGGAACTACGCTTCGGCTTTCGGATGAATTACCAACCCGGCTCTAGTATAAGAGCTAATTCTCAAGATGTCTCGGAAACGTTTCCTCTCGTCAAGCTTTCCCGGCATCGAAGCTTTGGCTTAGCTACTGTAGCGCTACTGGAAGAAAAATCGACAGATAATTCCGATAATCAACATCATACCGCCGATGGACATTGCTATTACAATTCCAGTATCTCCAGATCGTTCGCAATGTAATTGAGTGCTGCTGCTTCCCTAAACCTCGCAGCGGGCACAACTAATGGCCTCGGGATTTGCGTGATGCATTGCGTTCAACCCATGGTTCACCGATGTAAACAACGCGTAGGCGAGCGGTCTCTAACCAAATTACCTTTGAAAATAAAAATAGAAGCAGAGTTAGGTTCATCTTGAGCACAAGCCAAGGCCCCTGATGGGGCGCTCAATGGAAGTACCCCGCATCTTCGAACATCCTTTGACGATAAGCCTTTCCAAGCTATTCTGGTAAATAGTAAATGCCTACGCGAGAAGCTTACATGTACGAATGCAAATGTACCTTATGTTTACGTTCCGTTCCGAACCGCGTCACTTCCTTTTCGGTGGCAACTAGTTCTTTCTGTCCAAAATCACGATAAATACCTACCCATCCTGCCTTTGTTCTCAGTCTTCACATAAATCTGCTTCGTCCACAAGCATGATGTCATGCCAGCTCGAGCTTGCTGGAGTTATGGTGGTATGTGGGTCGACATGCATCACTGAACCCAGCAGAACCACATTTATATACCCGCTTGTCTACTTCTCCATATATATCTACCGGACGGTGTTTCAGCGAGAGCAAGGTTCGTCTCTCCAGGGTCGGCAATACTTTTCCCTTCCAAGCTTCGCATCTTTTCTCTTTCTTATCTTCCATCCTCAATCCCTAGGGTCTATCAGATATATAACTCCGTCTTTCTCACAATTCCAGGTTCTCTTATCCAATTGCTAGTAAAGTTTCCCGTTACTCAGTCACCTCAACTTCACCATGGCAGATTCAAGACGCCCACCAATTCCGAACGTCGCAAAGCGCACCCATATCCGACAAGTGAACCATTTCGCAGCCTCTCCTCCCCCTGAATTCTCCGGCCCCCCTCGAATCCTCGACGGCATCATCGTAGGCCTCGGCTACGCCAGCCTGACCACCTACCTGTTCGCAAACCAGAAGCGGCTGATGCCCTGGGAACTCGCCAGTCTGTCTCTAGGCTCCCTCGTCCTCGGCTTCGGGCTCTTCGACCTCGGACTCCGCAGCGGCATCCCGCAGGGCGCAAGCCTCCTGCTGCGGCGCGGAAAGGAGAAGCGGGAACGTCTCCTGAAGGACGAGGATGATTGGAAAGAAGAGTTCCGCGGCCGGGACTTCGCGACGCTGAACAAGGTCCAGCAGGTCGCGTGGTTGAGGAAGGAGGAGCGGCGGATTCTGGAGTTGCAGGCGCAGGAGCGGGCTGAGTGCGGACGCGCGTATATCGAGAAGGAGGAGGCGTATCGGGCGTATGAGAAGAAAGGTGGCTATGGGGGAGAGACGTGGAAGATGTGAGTACTTTTGGGGGTGGATATTGATACCTGATGAATGAAACTGATGATCTTTGATAGGTATTCGGCCGCGGATGATTTGTGTAAAGAGATATACAACAAGTGGGAGAGGCGGCAGAGGCGACTAACCCAGATTCGAAAGGAGATTAATGCCCTTGAGGAGCAGATTTAGAATTGGATGTGTGGGATCGAGGAGTGGGACTGAGTATCGGAAACAAATGTTTCCAGTCTCGAAGCGAAAAAAAAAAGCAGATTTCTTCTTACCCGATGCTCTTTAAGCAAAAAAAATGTTCATACCCGATAGATTATAGAATGCGAGATGATTGATCCGCAAATTTGATGTTTAGCCATTTCTGGACCTAATGTACTGTCTTGTTATCAGCTTCTCACAATAGGCCGATATAACTACTCCAACAGAGAACCATTGAACAAGCTAGCTTGCGAGACTTCCCGAATGCCAAAATTTAGATCCAGTCTCAATCCTATTCGCAGCAGACCACGATCCCGAGCCAGAAACTCTACTACTTCTCGCCTTGTTCGTTACAGGCTCGGCAACGTCGTAAAAAAAAAAAACCAATTAATCTTCGTCAATGCTTTTCAGCTTATCCCAACCTCATACATAGTATCAAACATAGCCTCTCAATTCTTTTAGGACTACGAGTAGAACGGGGAAGCTACGATGCCCTCGCGCTAGCCAACGTTCGGCCCTTCTTGATACGGACTAAAAGGCTCGCTCGCTTAGCTCGAAATAAATAATACTCCGTCGCCCAGAGCCAGAAAATAGCAAAGGCAAGGAGTAAGATCAACTATGATAGGCCGACTTGCAGGACCGATGGGGCAGCAATCTATATGATCATACCGAAGAAGTTGAACGAATATAGGCATGCGGGATACGGGATACGATAGACCATGAAGCTGGGCAAATGTTGAGGTGAAAAGCGAGCCGTCACATAAGCACTAGATTGACTGATCGAGCTGGATTTATGCGAATGGATGAAAGGTTTCTTATGCGCATGTATTCAAGACATCAGACGCTGGAGTGGATCTGTGCCAAGCTGGAGACTGACTCATGAATCGTTTTTGCTCTGAGATGGCTTATATTGGCGCGAGGTCACCCAAGCTTGGCTTTGTTACTATCCCCGCCCTGAAGTAAAGGCGAAAGTGTGGTTTTGTAAGAGCTCTTACCAAGGCTTTACCCAATCAATTCACAGAGATCCAGCCTCGAGAGGTTTCTCTAAGTTGACCAGGCCTTGAGCCATTCGGAAACCTCCGCTGTGTGATTTGCGGGGCTAAACTGGATCTGCCTTTATTTCGGGGAGAGGGACAGGACGCGAATAAGAATTCCAAACGTTATGCAAGCATTGGCCAAAGCTGGAGAGACTCCATATACTACGTAACTTACATGTTATTGTGCACAGAGCACAAGGGGATCTTTGGGCACATGGACGGCTGGCCATTGCAGATCAGTACAAAGCATTCCATAGAGAGATGGCGCGTCGTGTATCTGAGAGCTCAAAGTATCTCACATTTTGAAGCCGTCTTTCCAAAGGACGTAGCAGTCGTCGTCATCTTGGGAACATCAAGATTCCAAATGGCCAATAGTCGCTGCAGATCCAAAAACAGATGGCAAGAAGTCAACCCATACCAACCATTCCAAGAACTCCAACAAACAACCCCTTTTCAGCACAGCCTAACCGCCACCGGATCTTCTCCATCTTTCTCTCCGCAACGCTACTACTCCCGCGCCAAGGGCCCTCTTCAACACACAATTTCAAGCCACTATCGTGCAGTTTCATGATGCAGGCAGCTTCTGGTTGGAATTCAGCTTGTCCAAGCCCACTTATCCACCGCGTTTGCTGACGACCATAGACGAGGCGCAGTGACCGGCCATGTTTTCGTAACATCGACTTTGCAGTGTCAGCAAACTTCTAAGCCTTCCCCTTTTCTTACTCTCCATTTCTGATCATGTCTTTGCGTATATTTCTCTTCTGTTCCAGCTGTGTCCAGGTTTTGTCTTTCAGTTTTATATTCTTCCAGAGTACAGTTGCCTTTTAAAAGACTTGTCGGTTGATGCATTGAAGTTCATCTCATCACCTCATCTTACTGTCTACAAACATTGTCCACACGTCTAGGATGTGGTCTTCATTCTTTGCTGTTTCTGCTGCGCTTCTGTCGCTCACAGGTCTTGTCCAAGCAGTTCCTCAGCTTGAGGTATCGTCGGCATCATCAGCAACAATAACAGCAACAGCCGCCGCAACAACGAGCACAGTATCATGCAATAACTCTCCTGAACTCTGCAACCGAAGCTACAACAACATCACGCATATGGGAGCCCACAACTCGGCATTTCTGAGGGACAGTAGCACATCCTACTCAACGTCAGGAAACCAATACTACAATGCGACAGTGGCCTTGTCGGCAGGCATCAGGCTACTACAAGCCCAAGTGCACAACGAGAGTGGTATCTTGACTCTCTGCCACTCCTCCTGCAGCCTTCTCAACGCCGGCACTCTGGAATCCTGGCTCTCAAACATTAAATCCTGGATGGACGCCAACCCTAACGAAGTCGTTACCATCTTACTCGTCAATTCTGATGACCAGCAAGCCTCTGCATTCGGCACCGTCTTCCAATCATCAGGTATGGCAGATTATGGCTACACGCCCTCCTCCACATCCGCCATGTCAACCTGGCCTACCCTCCAGACCCTCATCGACAACAACACGCGTTTGGTAACTTTCATTGCGAGCATCGACTACGACAGCACATACCCTTACCTCCTCCCTGAATTCACATACGTGTTTGAGAACTACTTCGACGTCACCTCAGTTTCGGGCTTCAACTGTAGTATCGAGCGCCCCACGGCACTCGCGGACGGCACCGGAGCAGGGGCCGTGAGCTCGGGATACATGGGGCTGATGAACAACTTCCTCTACACATCCTCTGGGTTCGGAATCTCGATGCCCGCCGTCTCCCTGATCGAGAGCACGAACAGCCCGTCGACGACGGGCGGAAGCGGGACGCTGGGCAACAACGCCGCGCGCTGCCAGAGCGAGTGGGCGGGCAAGCCGACTTTCATCCTGGTTGATTTCTTCAACGTCGGTCCGGCCATCGCAGCTGCCGATAACCTCAATGGCATCACCGCCACGGGACGCACGAATCTCACCACGGCGCAGCTGACTGCTGGCTCGGAGAACGCTGGTGCGAGGCGGGATGTGAAAAGCTGCTTTGGGGTGGCCGCGGTGGTGATGGGGGTGCTTGCTGTAGGCAACTTCGTCTGGCTCTAGTCCCGTCCTCCCCTTTTTTTCTCTTACGACAATCTTGTCCCTTTTTTTTTTTCATCATGATCATGTAGCATAGCGATGGCGTTGGATAGGATGTACACCTACATAGCGTAGTATAGCGTGGCATAGCGGGCGTCGACCGGAACCGGAACGGGTACCAGATATCTGGGGTCGTTTTAGAGAGTCGACAGAACCGATACCCAAGAGAACGAATACTGAGATGTCTCTTCCAACATACTCTCCTCTTCTCGATTTTTCTTTTCTTTTTCATCCTCTCTCTCTCTCTCTCTCTTTCTGTCTCCGCTGTGCGGATTGCCGAGTGCTCGGACTCGTCCCCTCGTCTAAGCGCGTGACTCCTTAGCCAGTCAACACGGCAAAGACCCAACCCGCTGGATCAACGAAACACTAGCATGATTCCAAACACGAAAGCCCGCTGGTCTACTCTCCGCTACTCATATTTCGTTTGAAGCAGCTACGCACGCTCGACATGCCTATATGCACCTGTTCGCGCTTAGTCGGTTCTGATCTCCCTCCCCCCCCCTTTCTCTCAGTAAGCCTGTTAGCCGGTATTTCAGATGCTATATCAATAAACCGGCGTGATTATGAAGCTGCCTGCGTAGCGCTAGTAATATCTGCGAAAACCCTTTCCAGCGTGCACACAATCGAATGGAATGTATAAGACTGAACCTCGGATTGTGTATTGTCTTCTTCTTGGTAATGACTTGAGCTTCTCGCCCGCTACCATGCCTATTGCAATCGTTGCCTCAAGTGCAAGAGCCTGCGCGTGAATATGTCAGACTGTGCTGTGGTCTCTGCCTCTGGGCGGATACGAACTCTATGGAACATACTACCGGGGGAAACAAATTGTGCATTGGCTCTGCAAATGCTCGAAGCAGCCGCTGCTATATCGATCAGAACCGGAGTTGTGTGTTCAGATATTCCAGAATTCGCTTGTCTTCCTGATAGAATCAGGAGTGCAGAAGGTGTAGTAGATTAGGTATGAGAGTACTGAGAGCTATGTACAAAGGAGTAGCCAAGAGGACAGCCAAGAGGCTAGTCCATACGAATACGGGTAGAACCCAAGATTCCAACACTTCCACATCTCAAGGCGGAGATAAAATCACAATAATTTTTGAAGGAGACTTTTCCCAAATGGCATTTTGCACCCTTTACCACCGGTGCTGTAGTTCTTGGCTCACCCAACCGTCTCCATACTTCAGAATCGGTCAAGTGACGATAGGAAAGGCTGCCCAACCTGCTGATCAGAGCCTGACGAGCTCAATCATGTTTAATTGCAGTGGGAACCACGAAAAATCACAAACCAAGTGTATTGAGAAGAATACACCTCAACCCTAGCGAAAGTGTATTGAGAAGAATACACCTCAACCCTAGCGATAGGCATCCGCCAACAACGTACCAAGTCTCGTGCCCGGGCAGAGCTCACCGAGCGGGGAGATCTCGCTTCAGCAAGCGAGTAAACAGTAAACAAAACCCTAAGCGAGATTGCCTAAGTCGATCTTATTCCCCCTGAACCCACCTCCTCCTCGTAAATCAATAACCCATAGAAGAAATTTCTCTCAACCCTGCCCCTGCCGCTCTCTCTCTCTCTCACTGACAACTACGACCGCCAACCTCATCCACGCAAAAGCCATACCCGACACCGATCATGCGCAGCATACATCCCCATGCCCATCCACGCTTCTCGCCCACCCATCCACGCACGCCCCCAAACGCAAACGAGCAAGCCAGCAGCCAACACCAGCCGTGATACACACAGAGCAGCGCGCTCGCCCATTTTCGAACTATAGCCATAGTCCGGAGCTTTCCTAGGCATAGCCCGGCCGCCACTGCCAGACAGATCGTACATACATACATACATACATACATACATACATACGTGTAGTCCCTCCACATCCCGATCCCAAATTCCAAATTTCCCGCGGCGCGCCGCGCTCTCTCGCAAGGTTCTCCACGTGTAGAGACACACGCACATACAAAGATAGATAGATAGATAGATAGATTAGATACTCGGATCGAGGGTTGCACTTGCACGCACGCACGTACTCTGTACGTGACATACGTACATACATACATACATTACCCAATCGCATATATGCAGCCAGCCGTATCATGACGCGGTGAAGCCCCCTTCCACACGTATCTACCTACCTACCTGACTTTACGGAGTAATCTGCGGAGTACGTGACCACTCGTTCTCCCCCCCCCCCCCCAAAAAAAAATATTCAAATAAAGAGAAATATATCAATAGAGAGATATCTCGTGTAAGCTAGGCCGCAGGCTAAGCCGGAGATTCGATCGATCGATGGATCGGGCGCGGAGGGCGTGGCGTGGCGTGGCTTTTTCTGGAATCCTGCATAATGCGGATATCTCATTCTGTCTCTCTACGGAGGGACGTGAAATCGCGAACACACCCGCGAGGGGTACACCATCTATTCTCCCCCTCTGTGACCTTTTAGTTTTTCTCTTTTTTTTCTTTTTTCCCTCGGAGGTTTTCTTTCCCCTTGTATTGTGGGACTCGATTGGTGGCGGGCGGGAGGAGACCTGTACGTACGTAGCTCACAGGTACCCGGTTATTTCATCTTGATCATTTCAAGCCGTTGCTCTATTGCGGAGGCGCTAAGGACCGGTCGTACCACTGTTTTTTTTTTTTCTTTTCTTTTCTTCGGATTTCTCGGGTTCGGGTTGATCGAGCTCGGAGATGATGGGATCTTCGCAGTGACGATATAGACAATCGTAGTATGGATCGTGAGGGCTATGAGGATTGATGTTTCTCTTCTGGAAGTACGGCCGAGATTGGTGCGGAACGAAAGGAGGTCTATGATCCCTTGACTTTTTTTTGATAATGCCGAATGAATCCTTTCTGTGCTAGGCTGGAAAGTCGGGAACCAGGAAAATTTAAGCTCTTGTTCGGGAGCCTCTGGTCTTGAAGGGGAGGTGCAGCCTGTCAAAGAGTAGGCGTCCGTGATGCAGATCCAGGTTTGAGGGATCGATGGGTGTCCGGATGCGTACAATGTTATCGGATATTTTTGGTAATGCGTGGAAGAGCTGGATACTGCATTTCGGGGTTTACGGGGATGGAACGACGAAGGACATACAAGCGAGAGATTCATTCTGTGTGGCGGGAATCTTTATTGCCTTTCTGTTATCTTACGGAGACGCATTATTTTGTCGGCGAGCTTTCTTGGTGTTTTATTCTGTTAACAATTCAACCAGTCCCGTGCATGCACTACATACCATCCACCACATCCTTCTCAAATCAAACTAATCTCATTCAAATGCCCATCCAGTACCCACAGTCTCATTCTGACTTTAAAAGATCGTGACTATTCCCAAGAACACAGCAAGTAGTGACACACCCAAAGCCCCAACTTCCATCATATTCCCCCTTCCCACTCCGTTGTTTGACTGCTGCACCCCCGAAGTCGAGGCCGGACTGGTAGTAGCCTTGCTCGTGATGATCGGATAATCCGTAGGTGTTGTCTGCACAGTAACAGGCTGTGCAACAGGAGCGGCCGTAGTAATCACCGAAGTAAAACCAATCGTCGTCGTACTCGCAGTCCAACTGCCCGTCGTCGTACCAGTCCAGCTCTCCGTAGTCGAGCAGCTCGTCCAATCTGACCAAGTCGACCATGCTGAAGCCCAAGAGCTTGATTCCCACGTGCCACTCGTCCACGTATCCCAGCCGGGCCAATTGGTCCCGGGGCATTTATCGTCAGGCCAATATCCAGAGCCCCAAGGCCCATGTCCTGGAGCATCCGTGGGCCAGGGGCCGTCGCCCGTCCATGTATGTGTGCCAGAGTAGTACGTCGACCAGGACCCGCCGTTGCCCGATTTCCATGTACTTATCTTGCTGAGGTACGACGAGTAATCGCTCGCGTATGCGCCAGTGCACAGCGTTGTAGCTGCTGGAAGGATTATCGTCAACCGCTGGGATTCCTAAGTAAAATGAAGAGGGATACCATTGTACCTTTCTTCAGCATTATCAGCACAACGTCGATCCTCGTCTTCATTCACTCTAAAAGAAACTTCTCTCAGACTGGCGCTGGCGCACATTGGCGCTGGCGCAGTCGAGAAATGGTAATCTCACCGCGTAGTTTCGGCATTGGATTTGTGTTGGGCTACGGGAGGTTTGGTGGCACAGGTCTACACCATCCACCGCGACGCTGTAACGAATGAGCAACAACGTACCACGCATGACGCAAAATCGACCTCGTCCCAGGCTGTGCTCGCAGCAACGAATGCCAAAAGTACCAATGAGGATCTCATGATGCTGGTTGCTAAGATGGTCGCGTGTAAAGCCTTGCAACCGGAATGAAGGAGGTTCAAAAGTTGAAGGAGTGATATGAGAGGAAATAACGAGAGAAATGAGGATGAGTTATACTATTCTTCTTTGTCTCTCCAATTTTCAGAACGCGCGGCCGGTAATCACGATCTGCTGTACTCCTGAGCGTATCTGTTCCGTCCTAAGCCCAAATTCCCCCTTGGGGTTTATTTACCTTTGTTTACCTCTGACTTTCGTCCAGTCTGGTTGGGTCAGACAAATGGTACTCTGGATTTCCCCAATTTCCAAGCCCGGACGATACGTCTTTGCTGTAAAGGCCCTATTGATGAGAATTTCTACCGAGGTCGGGTGGCTCCCTACTCCCTACTCCCTACTCCACCGCTCGTCAGGTCTTCAAGATCCGGCATAATTCACATAATGTTAGTAAGATCATTCCTGGACGTCGAGGCGGACGGCGGGATTGTGATTGGCGCTAGTTTTGCTGCGAGGTTGAGCTTTTCGTAATAATGGTCATAAACATGCTGATTTAGAACATGCGTGGTGTGCTGTCCAGATAAGCCGCATTGATAACTACTGCTTTCCACTCGCTCCGCTCCTATGACAACCCTTCGTTGAGTCGGCGAGCCTCTCCATCTCATATACGAGGGTGCTATGACCGGGACGTACAGGCAACCGAGCTGTGCATCTGTACCGAGACAAACAGCCCCGAATCGTGCAGAGCAGCTCCTGCGAGGCTACCATGTTGAAATATTCCCCACTGGGATCCGGCTGCGCGAATGCGGCTGACATCTTTATTGAGATTCCAGGATGTACGCCTTTCGCCTTTCGCTTACCACGAGCTGGGAATCGTAGGCACGAGAAAATCCTTGGATTCTCTAGACCTTTTGATCCGGGGTCCCGAAAAGCATGGAGTCTGATTAGGGCCGAGGCTGATGCAAGGCACCAAGTTCTACTGCTTTTCGACGGGTTTGTCACTCAGAGGTGCCCTGAAAATAGCTGTAAGAGCTCTGACATGCGTTCAATAGTCGCAAATGTGAAGCCACAGTAACTCGGGTTTCTCTCAGCCCCAAACCTGGTGACGTGAGAAAAAAGTAGCCACCACCGGAGACTTTCAAGCTCTTTAAGTTCCTCGGGCCCCAGTTTGTCGTGTCGTAGCTATCCATAGTCTTATACTCGCGCAAAAATGCTCAAATCGTTCGCTACCTTCCTCACCTTGGCGACTCTCGCCCTGGGCAAAACCGTTACCTATAACTGGAGCATCGATTGGGTAACTGCTTCGCCGGATAACTTCACCAGACAAGTCATTGGCATCAATGGCAAGTTCCCCTTGCCCATCCTTGAGGCGACAGTCGGCGACAATGTTATTGTTAATGTGTACAATAACCTCGGAACGGAATCAACATCTCTCCATTTCCACGGGATCGACCAGCCTGGCACTCAATTTGCAGATGGGCCATCGGGAGTTACACAATGCCCAATTCCACCTGGAAGGTCGCTCAAATACGACTTCATTGTATGAAATGCTGCCTTTCGGCCTGATGATGAGCTGACCAGTGAAAAAGGTCGATAGACCAGGAACCTACTGGTACCATAGCCATAACAAAGGGTTCGTGGTCCATTCTTGCGTGTTACTCGGGAGAAATGTACTCCCAAGAATGCTCAGATAAGCAGAAACATTTTTTTGCTGACTTGTTGTTCTTAGGCAATATCCCGACGGACTGAGAGGTAGGTAGATTGATAGAGATCGGAACTCACTGACTGACAAGAACAGGCCCTTTAATTATTCACGATCCCAGTGACCCATACGCTGGTCAATATGACGAAGAGATCGTGCTCACGGTATCTGACTGGTATCATGCCTCCGTACCGGAATTAATTTCGAAATTGTTGACAACAAGCAACGTGCGAGCTATGCCTCCATTCCCTGACGCCTTGCTGGTAAATGATACAACCACTGCAACATTCAAGTTCGACGTTTCGAAAACATACAAGATCGATATAATAAGCATGGCCGCATTCGCATCGGTCTTTATCCAATTTGACTCCCACCCAATGAACATCATAGCAGTTGATGGAAGCTATACCGTGAAGAAAGAAGCCTACCAGATCCGATTAAGCCCTGCTCAGAGATACACGGTACTTCTTAAGGCACAGAGTTCCACGAGGAGAAACTATGCTTTCTTGGCTTCACTTGACCAGAACCGAGACTTCACCGACACTTCTGTGACGCCGGTGTGGCCGCTCAATGTTACCGGTAACATCATCTATGACTCTGCCAAAGCAATTGCACCAACATACGTTGTTCCCAAATGGAAACCTTTTGACGATGCCACATTGGTAGCTCTGGATGGGCAGGCATTGCTGGGGCCCCGAGCGAAGGTTGACAAGGAGATCACGCTGGACTTCGATTTCCAGCTGGACGCAGCTGGGATACCAAGGTAAGCTGACCCAAAGAGACGTGAAAGGTAGACCTGACACTGCCCAGAGCCTACTTCAACAACATCACCTATATCGCCCAGAAGGTGCCTACCTTATTCTCGGTCATCAGCACCGGTCTTTCGAACACAAACCCCGCTATCTACGGCGCAGTCAACCCGTTCATAGTAAACAAGGGCGATATTGTCCAGATTACTGTCAACAATATTGACGGAGCTATCCATCCTTTCCATTTGCACGGCCATCAGTTCCAGGTGGTGGAAAGACCCGCGAGCGGCAAGGGCAAGTACATAGGCAAAGGCAGAAACTTCCCCTCGGTCCCCATGAAGCGCGACACGTTTGCCGTGAATGCCAACAGCTACGCCGTGATTCGCTTTCAGGCAAGCAACCCAGGTGTGTGGCTATTCCACTGCCACATAGAATGGCATGTCATCATGGGGTTGACGGCAACGATTATCGAAGCTCCGGACTATCTTCGTGGCTTTCCAATACCTGCGGATCACAAGGCCAACTGTGATGCGCAAGGGATACCCACCTCGGGCAACGCCGCAGGTAATACAGGAAACTTCACCAATCTGGCTGGTGCCAACACTATTCCCGAGTTCCCAGACCGGGGGTGAGCGCTCGACTATTCACGTGTCTGTTCCTAAATGCTAACTCATCTCCAGTGCTACATTCCCGAAGCGAATGGTCAAAGCTTCAAAGGCATTCGCCCGCTCTCCTCCGTATCCCATGAACATACCCAGGGGGTAGGCGGTTGTGTCGGTGAGAATGTATGGGCATGGTGTGTGTATGTAGATTGTTGTCTGCGGGCTAGAAAGTCCGAATCATCGAATGTGGGCAGGCCGAGGATATCGGTCCTTTCTGTGCCTACCGCTGATCTTGTACATCTCTGAATATTTTTGCTCGGCTGGATTCTTGTTGTTGCCATCAGTGTTGCTAAATTCGTGCCTTGGGGGTGGTAAATTGGAGTCGATGACGGCGCGGCGCGTGTTGAGGACGATGCATCATCTGCGAGATCTTTCGCTATCTCTAATTCTCGAGGTTTCCAAGTCTACTGCGTTATAAACTTGACGGATTGACTTTGAATTCTTGCCTGGTTGACGATGAAGGTGAGTTGAGGAGGCGAGCTGGTCTGAGCAGTTGCAGCAGTAGGTAGTCGGTTTACGGAGCGAAAATCTTCCGATTCCGCGACCGATTTGGTTAGGTAGCACGTGTACTTAAGGTTATCCTGGCGCAACGCAAATCTACGAGACAAGTTTGTCACAACGTCTTGATATGAAATCTCCCAAACTCCAAAATAACCAAGCGTATCCTGAATCATCGCCTACCGAGGTACGCGTCTTGCCACCGCGCGCTTACCTCAACCCCCATCGCCAGATCCCGTGGCCACGAGATGAAGAGGTGTGCCCCTCGGCTTCTCAGTGCCACCCGCCGCGGTGAAACGAACATTGTGGCAGGCTCCACGGCGCTCGTCCGTCTACATTAGCTCGCGTCATGACCTCTGCGGAAGCTGGCCCCGTCACTCATTCACCCGTTGCCGGAGGTGCTTTGATATGTAGATCATCCAGTGGGAAGGACAGCGCCCCCCCTAAGTTTCAGATCGCAGATTTCCTAGGAACTCATCGAAGCCGTTATTTCGCCCGTTGGTCAAGGAGTGGAAGAAAGCTTGTCTTGGGACTTGAACAGTCATGAACAAAGCTCGAAGGTTTGGAAACAAAATGCATGGATATCACGTCGTCCAGGTTGTCTCCTGCTGGCAACGTGCGCGCCTGCCGTCCCTTCCATCAAACAAGCCATTCAGTATTCATTACTGGTGTTACAATCTACGTCCGTTTTGATGGGGCTCAAGCTGATGATGCGCGGGAAGCGAGCATCAGTCAGACTATCATTTTCAACACATTATGCGACGGTCTTGTACGTCTGGTCAGGGTGATAGACATCAAGGCTTTCTATCAATATTCCTTGCGATGATGATGCCGATATCTTCGAATCCTCACGTTATTGGAATCTCGTGTAGTGGTTCCGGCCGAGGAAGAATGCAGGCTCCCGGAGCCAGATGCTGTGTGGGGATGTCCGTCGGATAATTTTAGCAGGAAGGGTCCAGTTCACGGCCATAGCTACATGCTCTGCCACGCTCTAGTGAAGGATCATCGAAAACACAGTCCTCAGCCTGGAATTACCGTGTCAGGCTGCGTTCTCGGTACCGGCCCTTGAGCCAATAGATCTGCGGCGATACATTTCAAATCCACAACATCGGCTCCAGGGAACTGCTCTATCACCTCATACCGGACAAAAATCCAATCATCCCTGGAAATACCATTCTGTCGGATGCACGCCCATTTCATCGCCTCCGTAGTCTGTCCTGATGTCACCACGCTTTATTGGACACATGGGACAAATTGGGCTAATGTCATGTTCCAAACGGTATCGTCCTGGAACCAGATTGCATGAGCGTAGCATTTTGCTATGGCCGGGGCTCGGTGACCGAAGGCCTAGGAGCCTATTGTAGGCTCTCTTGAGAGTATCAAGGGGCTGGCTATCTCGATCCGAGAGCAGACATGGTGCAAGCGCTCTATCTAGTTCTCTCTGACAGTGTCTCATACGGGATCGGGGGCGTCCTACACAGACCACAAACTGGCGCGTGAGCTGAACAATGAATGAACCCTCCACTGGATCGAGCCGCCCTCGGAATAGAACAGACGGTGGCTAGCGTGAGATTGCTGCATGTATTTCTAAGCTTATTTTCAACATTCAGATATAGATTCAAAGGCACCTCCAGGAAATCTTCTTCTGCATCTGCGATCATTCTGACTACTACGATCATTCTGATTATCACGACCACTCTAATTATCACGGCCAATCTGATTACTACAACCATTCTGACCCTCACAACTATTCTGATTATTACGACTACATTAGAGAAAATGGCTTTCCTTCTTTTCGGTGATCAGTCTCTGGGCGTCCACGGCTTCTTGGCGGACTTCTATCAGTATGGCAATCCCAGCGTGTTGACCATTTCATTTCTAGATCAAGTTGGAGCCGCTCTTCGCGAAGAGGTAGATCGATTGTCGACCATCGAGCGTCAAAGAGTGCCTACTTTCTCAAGCATCAAGGACTTGAACGAGAATTATCAGGCCAAGAAGATCAAGAATTCGGCCGTGGATAGTGCTTTACTTTGCATTACCCAGCTAGCCCACTATATCGAGTATGTTATTCCCCTCCACCCTGAGAGATTGCAAACCGTACTGACATGTCATTGAAGCCGGACTGAAAAGGTTCCTGAAGATATTACAAACCCAACAGAAACAGTCCTCGTAGGGCTATGCACCGGGCTTTTTGCAGCAGCAGCGATCTCATCTTCACAGTCTCTGTCGACTCTTATCCCCATCGCGGTGCAGGTCTCTTTGATGGCATTCCGAGCCGGAGCCTACGTTACTGCTATGGCCGAGCGTCTCCACCAGAACATCGACTCATCAGATCCATGGACCTATGTTTTACCTACCATTGGAGAGAAGGAGACAAAATCCATCATCGATTCTTTCCACAATGATGCTGTGAGTGAAACAAGCTCTCTCGCTTGATGTCGTCTAACTGTTGCAGGGCATCCCTTCGGCCAATCACGTGTACATTAGCGCGATTACCAACAGCAGTATCGCTGTGAGTGGCCCTCCAGCCAGCCTTAAACTGCTTTTTGGCTTTCACAACTTCGAAGCGAAGCCTATACCTATTCCCGTCCACGGTCCTTACCATGCCGCCCACCTCCATTCGGTTTTCGATAGCGATAAAATCCTTCGGCTCGGGGATCTCAATGTGCAGGGAGTCCTGGGACATGCAAAGCCCAGATACCCCGTGATGTGCTGTAGAACCGGGGACTGTTATTCAGAAGAGACAACTATCTCTCTGATCCAAACCATCATGAAGGATATCTTGACCGAACCACTTCAGTTCCAGAAAGTGATTCACGGTTGCGTTCAGAAGGCGCAAGATTACCGAGGGACTAGTTGCCTGGTCATACCTTTCGGTAAGCAGTACCCTACACCTCCCAGTCAAATCCTCCTCCCACTTCCTTGTCATCATTTTTCACATAGTCCGAATTCTATCTGGTGATATGCTCACCTCCACTATCCAGGCCCAACCAAAGCTGCCAATAGCCTGGCAACCACACTGAAGGCTCAAACAAGCCTCGACATCATCCTGAGAAGATCCCCAACCACATCTACACGACCAGAACAGGTCTCTAATAACTTCGCTAATGGATCGAACGGACGATGTAAGCTTGCCATTGTCGGCATGGCCGGGCGCTTTCCCGATGCTGCAAGCCACGAAAAGCTGTGGGAGCTCTTGGAGAAAGGTCTCGATGTTCACAGAGAGGTCCCGAAGGATCGCTTTGATGCCAAGTATGTGTGAACCTTCTTTCCCGTGCTTCGAGCTGTTCCTTTTGTGAGCGAGAGTGTCCACCTTGCGCATTCTTCGATACAATGCGAAATACTTACAATACTATAGGACACACACAGATCCCACGGGCAAGACGAGGAACACCAGTCACACCCCGTATGGCTGCTGGATTGAAAATCCAGGTCTCTTCGACCCCAGATTCTTCAACATGTCTCCCAGAGAGGCCTTCCAAACCGATCCTATGCAACGCTTGTCACTAGTAACGGCATTCGAGGCACTGGAGATGGCTGGCTACGTCCCCAATCGGACCCGGTCTACAAAGCTGGACCGCATCGGAACGTTCTACGGTCAGACATCCGATGACTGGAGAGAGATCAATGCTGCTCAGAAGGTTGATACCTACTTCATTACCGGCGGTGTCCGCGCTTTCGGTCCAGGGCGTATCAATTACCACTTCGGATTCTCGGGTCCTTCCTTCAGCATCGACACTGCTTGTTCTTCGAGTGCCGCAGGAATGCAACTCGCCTGCACATCGCTGTGGGCTGGAGATTGCGACACCGCGATAGTGGGTGGCATGTCTTGTAAGTTCCAGAATCCCTTTTTCAAACTCGGTCTCGTGACTTCCAGAAAGCGAAAATGTGCTAACACTCCCAGGCATGACCAATTCGGATATTTTCGCTGGTCTGAGTAGGGGTCAATTCCTCTCCAAGACAGGCCCATGTGCTACATTTGATAACGACGCGGATGGCTACTGCCGAGCAGACGCTGTTGGTACTGTTATCGTCAAGAGACTGGAGGACGCACTGGCGGACAAGGACAATGTCCTCGCTGTCATCTTGGGTACGGCAACCAACCATTCGGCCGATGCTATTTCCATAACTCACCCTCACGGTGGGACCCAAGAGGTACTCTACCGGAGTATCCTTGCTAAAGCTGGCGTCGATCCTCTCGATGTCGACTACGTCGAAATGCACGGAACTGGCACCCAGGCAGGAGATGGAACCGAGATGCGATCAGTCACCAATGTTTTCGCTCCCGCCGATCGCAAGAGAACAGCTGAACAACCATTGTACCTTGGTGCTGTTAAGGCTAACGTAGGACATGGTGAAGCAGCTTCTGGTGTCACAGCCCTAATTAAGGTGCTCATGATGCTTCAAAAGAATGCCATCCCTCCCCACGTTGGTATCAAGAACACTATCAACAAGGGCTTTCCTTCCGATCTTGCTGAGCGAAATGTTCACATTGCGTTCCATAAGACACCACTTCGCAAGCGAACAAATGCGCCCCGTCGTATCTTTGTCAACAACTTCAGTGCCGCTGGTGGCAATACCGGGTTACTTCTTGAGGAGGCACCGACTCTCAAGAGAGCAGTTGTTGATCCACGATCGACCCATGTTATCACTGTCACTGCGAAATCCAAGTCTGCGATGCTCAGAAATGCTCAGAACTTAATCTCCTACCTTACTGAGCACCCTACGACTTCCCTCGCCGACGTCGCGTATTCGACTACCGCTCGACGGATCCAGCACAACTGGCGTATGTCAATTACTGCGACTGACATTTCAGAAGTCTCTGCACTCCTCGGATCCAAGCTTGTGGAAAACTTTGTGCCTGTTCTACCTGAACCTCCAAAGGTCGCCTTCCTGTTCACCGGACAAGGATCGCACTACGCCGCCATGGGCAAGGAACTGTACACCACATCTACCCTCTTCAGAGATACCATAGATGAGTTTGATAAGATTGCGATCATACACGGCTTCCCATCTTTCCTTCCTTTGATAGACGGAAATGCAGCAGATGTCCAGACTTTATCGCCTGTTGTTGTACAAATCGGAATTGTCTGTCTCGAGATAGCAATGGCCAAACTTTGGGACTCTTGGGGAATCAAGCCTGCGGTTGTGATGGGTCACAGCTTAGGAGAATACGCAGCCCTTCACGTTGCCGGAATTCTCTCTGCGAGCGATACCATCTATCTCGTTGGAAGCAGAGCCGAGCTCTTAGTTCGCAAGTGCACTCCTGGCACTCATGTTATGCTCGCAGTTCAAGGATCTCTTGCAACTGTTAAAGAGGCTCTCGGTGTCCAAGCCGAATCAGTCAATGTTGCTTGCATCAACAGTAGCCGCGAGACGGTACTGAGTGGCGAAGCTGGTGAGATGACCCAGGTCCAAGATCTCCTCACCAACTCCGGTTACAAGTGCACTCAACTCAAGGTGCCATTTGCTTTCCACTCGGCTCAAGTCGATCCAATTCTGGATGAGTTCCAAAAGGTTGCGGAGTCGGTAAACTTCGGCAAGGAGACCATCCCGCTCATCTCTTCGGTGCTTGGTAGAATGTTGAACGAGCCTGAGAAGATCGACGCCGTCTATCTACGCAACCACGCACGTAACCCGGTTAACTTTGTCGGCGGACTCGAGGCTGCTCAATCAGCTGGTGCGACTGACGCCAAGACTGTCTGGATGGAGGTTGGACCTCACCCAGTTTGTTCAAACATGGTCAAGGCTACTCTCGATATCGGTTCCATCATCGCTCCATCTTTGCGCAGAACCGAGAGTGCATACAAGACCATATCACACAGCTTGAGCACTATGCATACCGCAGGTCTCAATGTTGACTGGAATGAGTACCATCGGGACTTTAACGACTCTGTCCAGCTCCTCGACCTTCCAACATATTCTTTCGATGACAAGAATTACTGGATTCAGTATGAGGGAGATTGGTGTTTGACCAAGGGTGATGTGGCCAGTAAGATCACTCCTTTGTTGGAGGATACGAAGCCGAAGCTCTCTACAACTTCCGTGCAGAAAGTTATTAGCGAGTATATCAAAGATGGAGTGGTTGTCATCAGCGCTGAGTCCGATTTGGCGGAACCCGGTCTCAGAGGTGTCGTCAGTGGACATCCAGTCAATGGAAGTCTACTTTGCCCGTCTTCACTATACGCAGATATGGCCATCACGGTTTCCGAATACGCATACAAGCTTGTTCGCCCAGATGTTACCGATCTGGGTATCAATATCGCAAATATGAAGAATCCCAAGCCTCTCATCGCGCGACCGGATGGAGCGAGCCAGGTTCTCAGCATGATTGCTACTGTGGACGTCAACACCAACAGAGCAGATATCGTCTTCTCAACAGGAGCTGGCAAGGACAAAGTCGAGCATGGTATTTGCGAAGTATTCTTCGGTAACACCAAAGAATACCTTGCCGAATGGCAACGGACAGCCTATCTCATCCAATCCCGCGTCGACTGGCTTCAAGATGCCGAGAAGACTGGAATTGCCCACAAGATTGGTCGCGGTCTGGCATACAAACTGTTTGCCGCTCTGGTTGACTACAATCCACGTTACCGAGGCATGGGAGAAGTTATTCTCCACAGCGAAAATTTCGAAGCTACCGCAAAAGTCAATTTCCAGACCACTGCGAGCGATGGTGAGTTCAAGTACAGTCCCTTCTGGATCGATTCTCTTGCACATATCTCTGGCTTTATCGTCAACGGTTCCGATGCCGTTGACTCTAAAGAGAATGTCTACATCTCCCACGGATGGGAGTCGCTTAGATTTGCCGAGCCTTTGTCACAAGAGAAGACCTACCGATCGTATGTCAGGATGCAACCCCAAGAGGGCAAGGTCTTGGCAGGCGATGTCTATGTCTTTGATGGAGACAGGATCGTGGCGATGGTCGGATGCTTGAAGTTCCAATGCATTCCTCGCAAGGTACTGAACATGTTCTTGCCTCCTGTGGGAGCAGCCAAGGCGATCGCCGCACAGCCATCTGCACCTGCAAAGGCCCCAGCATCGAAGCCTTCCAAGTCGGCGCAAGTCACCTTGGCCAACATTGCGACAGTCAACAAGAAGTTAGTCTCAGTGTGTACTCGCGTACTCGAGATTCTAGCGGCAGAAGTCGGTGTTGGCATGGATGAGCTCGTGGATAACATTGGTTTCTCGGACCTGGGAGTTGATTCATTGATGTCTCTGACGGTCAGCGGGAGAATACGAGAGGAACTCGAGATTGAGGTTCATTCGCACGACTTCAACGACCACCCTACCATCGGTTCCTTCAAGACGTTCCTCGGCAAGTTCGAGACGGGGGTACCTAGCTCCTCCTCAAGCGATACACACAGTCAGACCTCGTACCTCGACAAGTCAACACCTGATCTCGGGGACGACTCGAATGTTACGACGCCTTTGGACGATACCCCTGTTGAAGAGAACAAGGATGAAGGCCTTGGCGACCTCATCCGTGTCACCATCGCAGAGGAGATGGGCGTTGACATTGAGGAAATTGTAGACACGGTCGATCTCTCCACTCTTGGAATGGATTCTCTGATGAGCTTGTCGATTCTAGGACGTCTCAGAGAGAAGACCGATATGTCCCTTCCTGCCGATCTGCTCGTCGCCAATCAGACCATCCAAGAGATCAAGAAGAGCTTGGGCATTGGTGCACCAGTGAAGCCTGTCGTGTCTGTGTCTGTGTCCCTTTCAACGAAGACCGTCGTCGCTCACAACACCGTCAACGTCATTCCGTCCCAACGCTTCGCTACTTCGGTACTTCTGCAGGGGAACTCGAGGAAAGCAAGCAAGACTTTGTGGATGATCCCTGACGGAGGCGGATCTGCAACCTCTTACGTTGACATTCCGGATCTCTCACCCGAAGTCGCTGTCTTTGGACTCAATTCTCCTTATATGAAGAATCCTGAGGAGTACAAGTGCGGCGTTATCGGCATGGCCGAAGCCTTCATCACGGAAATGAAACGTCGTCAGCCAACTGGACCTTATATTCTCGCGGGGTGGAGTGCAGGAGGTGTCATTGCCTTTGAAGCCGTCAACCAGCTCACCAAGAGCGGTGAGACGGTTGAGAAGCTCATCCTCATCGATTCACCATGTCCTGATATTATCGAGCCTCTTCCGACTTCCCTGCACAGATGGTTTGCCTCCATTGGGCTTCTCGGCGACGGAGACTTCTCCAAGCTACCCGCGTGGCTGCTTCCCCACTTTGCCGCATCAGTCAACGCTTTGTCGAACTACACGCCTGAAGTGATCGACCCGAAGAAGAGCCCGCACGTGACAGCAATCTGGTGCGAAGACGGAGTCTGCAAACTCCCCAGTGACCCTCGACCAGATCCCTTCCCATATGGCCACGCCCAATTCCTGCTTGACAATCGTACCGATTTCGGTCCGAATCTATGGGACAAATATTTGAATTCCGAAAAGTTTGATTGCAGGCACTTGCCCGGGAACCACTTTTCAATGATGAAGAAGCCTCACGTAAGTATTCTCTAATCTAATCTTTCTCCATTTTTTTATACTGACTTGTGTGAACAGGTTGCCACGCTGGGTCACATAATCAGAGAGGCTCTCAACGCCTCAGTATAATGAATATATAGTCGTGTTAATTTTAATGAATCAGAACGGAGTTGGGTTTGGGTTGGAATTTCCCCTTTGGAATCCACGGGACAGGCAGGGGCTGACGGTTGTTTTGTTTTTGCTCCGCGATCCTCGCTATCTGTATTGGCCTTACGGATGCACATATCCAAATGAATTTTAATGATTCATCATGACCCGTTGATCTACAATTATAGTCGTGCTGCAAAAGCTGCTTATTTCACTTTTGCTCATCTTTTGGTTCGTTTTTTTTTATTTCCCTGTGCGCCCATTGTCGCATGGTATCTATTACCGCATGGTATCTATTACCGCAAGTGCCTGGACATGTGATCTAGTGACGAGTGCTACCACCTACTGTGCTACATTGTTCCTAATTTGGAGTCCTGGGAGTACCGGTACACCGAATAATGTGCAGCTACCCGCTGATTCCGAGTCACGGAGACTTGCTTCGGGACCTGGCGGGGTGTGGTGTGGTTTGGTGGAAAGATTGACAAAGACTTTTCGGAGGCATGGTAGGTATTATTTACTCTTTAGCGATAACTGCATAGGCAGTGAGTGGACAGATGCATGACGCCCGCATGTACCAACCGTGTCTTACATCTTACACACTACCTTGACTCTGCAGCATGCCTTTCAAGACTACATTATCGGAAACGAAAATGCCCAGTGAGCGAATCTTCATGGTATATTTTTGCAGTGCGGTATGGAAGCAGGGAAGTCGGTCAGTCAGTCAGTCAGCCAGGGTCACTCCACGTGGCTCGACTTGCCCAGCATCCGCATCTGCATCCGTATCAAGTATTCAGCGCACTGCTTCTGCTGACATTCTCGCTCTCGCTCGCTACTTGTACTTGTACTCCGTAGTGCTATAGGGAATACGGAATACCATATTTCCACGTGCGACGCGGGTTGTCTTACATACAGGTGGCTACAGTCATCCACCTGTGGTCCGGAATTGGGAATGGATGCTGTGGCGTATCATATCAAAGTCACCAGGGCGGCTGACAACGGCTGGCATTCTCTTCCTATTCCTATATATGGTGATATCACCACCTTTCTTGGCCATACGGACGTCCGAAGAGGGTATGAGTTGCGAGATGCGGCCTCTAGGACGGACGGACGGACGGGATAAAACAGGGAGAGTACCTAGACATTGGAAAGCAGAGAAAAGTAATTGTCAGCAAGTTAAGTTATCCTCTATTCCGAAAATCATGCTATCGGGATGGCTCTTTCGGCTGTGCGCCTCGCTTGCTTCCGGCGTTGCCAGCTTCCAGCGTCCAGCTTCCGGCTTCCGGCTTCCAGCATAGAGCGGCAGCACAGGCCAGCATCAGCTCAATGACAGATACCCCGTACAGCGAGTACAGCCACTCTACATGAACGCAGTGCAGTGTAGATGCAGATGCAATGCAGACCCTGGTGAGCCCTTCTTCTTCTAAGCTATGGCCTCTACCCCTAGCCCTTCGCTTCTCTCCCAGCCCCTGGTTCGCTTAAGCGAACAAACAGCCTTGTGCTGTCATGTCAATATGGGCATCATAATTACTATCTGGTACCGTTCAGAGAAGCGATCTTCTCCAGATCATGTCCAGGCTGTCGATCGTATTCCTTCCCCCTTGCCTCGTCTTACTCATAGATCCATCTATCCATCTTCCCTGAAGTCAGCAACAGTTTATTCCAGTTGAGAGATTGGTTGTTTAGTATGTTTCGATAGTTTTGTTTCTGTCAGTCCAATCTTCTAGTATATCTATCGGCCTTCTTTTCCAGCAGCACATTGCATTTACTAACACCCTTCCCTCTCGCAGGCCCGCTCTTTACGGAGACATCTTCCAGCTCTCCTACCCCTCGCTACTATTATCCCAGCCTCTCTTGGCCTGGGAACCCAGTGGCGTGTCTAATTTATAAATACTAATTTCTACCAAAACGACAGACAATTTGCCCAATGTCAACCGCCAAAAACGTCGAGATGTATGGGCCGTCCAAAGCGGAGTCGTCCAAGCCCAAGTACTCAAAATTGAGAGCTTCCTGCGATACTTGCTTCACGGCAAAGGTCAAGTGTAGCAAAGCTCGGCCGATCTGTTCACGATGTCTGGTTTGCGGTGCGGACTGCAAGTATAGCCCATCGTCTCGAGCCGGGAAACCGAAGTCAGATGGCAGTCACAGGCGCTCGTCAGCCAAGGCAAATCGCTACCCAACCCCGTCGATGATCATCGATGTGGAACACGCGAATTCCTACGTGGAAACAGACTGGTCTTCAATCATGGGCACACCGAACGAACCGGTGCATCGAAACTCTATATCGTCACCTCTTCCGGCCAATGGGGACGAGACTGGGTCAGAGGTAGATGGGAACCAAGATCTCTTGACTCGGTATTCTCTTGGACAAGCTCTCCCAGGACAGACATGACTTCTCCATACGTCGACAACATTCAACATTACCAGCAACACCCACAAAAACACCAACAACAACACCAACGGCCCAGATCCTTCGTGGATCCCACCCTACAGCCCCCATTCATTTCCTGGTACGAGCCAGCAGAAGCCCACCACCACTCGACCTCTGCTCCAAGCCTCCAAGGAAGTCACAACCACCACGCCTACAGTTCCAACCAGCCAACCCGGTCCGCGACCTGCAACTGCTTTAACACCTGCCTCTCGGCGCTGCAAGCGCTCCACAACTCCGACGCCATCACCGCGACCTCCCCCTTCGACGTCATCCTCACCATCAACCAGCGCGCGGTCGAGACCTGCTCAACCATGCTCCACTGCCCCATCTGCACATCCAAAGCGGGCGCCTCGAGCCTCCGCACCATGCTCCTGGGCACCATCCTCGGCCGCATCATCTCCATCTACCAGGACGCTTCCAAGAGCTACTTTGCGCTCAGCACCACCCCCTCCTCCACTTCCACCACCTCCACTCCCACCACCTCCTCCTCCCCTTCCAGCCATCACAACAACGGATATATTCGGCAACAGCAACAGCAGCAGCAGCAGCAATTACCCCTCACCTTCGGGACGTACCGCGTTGCCAGCGAGGACGTGCGCTGGCTACAGATGGAGATCCTCCTGCGGGACCTGAAGAAGCTAAAGGAGCTGTTTGCCCGCTTCCAGGAGACGAGCCTGATGTTGGGCGAGAGCGAGGAGGACGCGGGCATGCACGGCGCGGTGAGCAACTACCTGTGTCAGAGTCTGGATCTGACGTTCGAGTCGCTGCGGAAGCAGCGCAGCTTTACGGCTGGCGGAGGGGGTGGCGGAGCCGGTGGTGGTGGGCAGCTCTGAGTTGGATGGAAAGGGGGGAGGCGGGGAGGGGAAGGGAGGCTTTAATCTCAATGACGGATATATATATAGATGATGCGTGGATCTTTTGCTGGCGTGTTTGCCTTTATGGGGTTTTTTTTTTGGCTTTGCGGATGGATGTATGTATGTATGTATGTATGTGTGTGTGTCTTGTAATGATAAATATCTTATTTCAAGTCGGCGTCCACGTCTAAGTTTAAAGCCTTATCTAATACGGTTACGAGGGTTATAAAAATGTGTATATATATATATAATTACAGAGTGATTGCATAAATGTAGCTATAACATACCTCAAAATCAAAATTCGAAGCGAGATATGATACACACTTCCGTATTGAAGGGTGATAAAATATGGGGTTTTCATGTGATCTACGGAGAAGTATGTAAGGGGACGCTGGGCTCCTTTTTTTTTCCTTCCCTTTTTCTTTCTTCAAATCTGCCGAGGTTAAAAATTGAGAGTCTAGTTCGGGCTGGCTGTATTTACATCGAGTACTCGCTAACTCTAAGCGAGAACATACTACCCCTGAGTCTTACCTGAACACAATCCAATTGGATCCTACTTATCGGCCGGAGAACGATTTACCAGCTCTAAATACGTGGGTTCCAAACGGAGCATGTTTGTATCATTCGGCGGACCGTCGGGAGTAGGTTCTGTAAACTCGAACCTCGTATATGAGCGCCCCCGTCGCTGTTGGCTTTCAATTGAGCCTTTCCTTTTTTGCATGAGAAAAATACTCTTTTTTATGGATATGTTCTACGGCACTTTTGTGGAATGTAAAATGACTTGCTGACATCGTACTCGTTCGTTCCTAACTAACGCATGTATCTCTCAATCCATTATCTTTCAATCCATTATCTCTCAATCCATTATCTCTCAATCCATTATCTCTCAATCCGTTATCTCTCAATCCTTCGGCTCGCCACTCGCGCTAAATTTGACCCCTCTTGTATGTATGTGTACAGCAAGCAGCCCGCTGCCACCACTTACCTACCCACCTCAGCCCCCCACGTCCTCCTCAACCAGCCAATTTTACACCTCTTCGGAATAGAGAGGAGAGTAATGGCATACCCCGACGCCTCCCCTCGCCATTCTTTTTTTAGAGCTGGAAAATACCCAGCGCCCTACGAGCGATATCACCTCCAGCTTGTCAGCGGATGAGGGTACAGTACGCCTGCCTTATCGTCCGAAACCTAAATGGGACCCCCGTCAGCCGCCCCGGATCAATATTGCCAGAGGTGGTGCAACCATACCGAGCAGCTCCAGGACGCCCAGCGGGATGATAAGGGTTGGTATCCAGTTAGGCAGGGAAGGGCCGACGGTTAAATCAATTCGACATGATACGATACCGTGCTGAAGTCGAACCATGATTTTAAAAGAAGCAGGCTTACGAGAAGAGGTAAAGGTAAAAGCAGAAGCAACATTTGAAAACTTGATACTCCATTTCAGGATCCCAACATACACGTATACATCTATACATAAGGATCTTTCTCCCAAACCTTGTCTTCCCTTTTCCTTTTAACAGAGAAGCCATCTCTTCTAGACATATGGATAAGTCGAAATTCAATAGGATGTAAGCAAGGTGCAGGTGCGGGGGAGTAAAGTAAAGTATATCGCCTGTAAACATGTATACGCGGTGTTGTAAAGTCAGCAAAATAATAGATGATCAATCGGCAGCGCTGAAAAAGCTTATAACATTCAAAAAAAGACAAAATGATAGACATATGAAGAGGTTACCGTCAACTTGCGCCTACATCATATAAGGCTTGGAGGTTAGGGGGACGAGATAAGACAGTGCGGCTCTTAGATATAGACACCCGTAGGACTCCTTGGCCTGTTACATACGTACTGGCAAAAGAAAACCAACTAACCAACCAACTGACTTGCATACAAAGCAAAGCAAAGCAAAGCAAAGCAAAGCAAAGCAAAGCAAAGCAAAGCAAAGCAAAGCAAAGCAAAGCAAAGCAAAGCAAAGCAAAGCAAAGCAAAGCAAAGCAAAGCAAAGCAAAGCAGAATGAAGTGACTTGTCCAAATCAAACCAAATCAAACCAAATCAAACCAAACCAAACCAAACCAGAACCTGCACGTGAGACCCCGTGACTTTTGAGCCCTGGGCGGCTGGCGGCGCAAAGCAAGCAAAGCAGGCAAAGCACAGTTCGATCGGAGCTCCGATCATGGGTAGGTGCGTCCCGGCCCCTTCACGTTTCATACGTCCGAGGTGCGGGAGGCTTTGGATATGAATAGGTATATGAAGATTGAATTCTTTTAGATGCATTTGATACTACACACTCCAATCTTTTTCTTTTTTCTCATATCGAATATGAAGCAAAAACGAAGGTGGGTCTTGAACCTTGGAACGAAAAGGCAAGGAACGGATTACGGCATAGACCACACCGAACACCAACACCAATACCAAGGTGACGATGCGTGGGCGACCAGCTAGCCAGCCAGCTCTTCCAACAACCCCCACCGGCAGAGAGAACCTTACGAGTAAAGACTCCTGCTGTTGTTCCCTTGTTCCCTCGTTCTGCTGAGGATGGGAGTTGGATCGCGTCGTAAAGCTGACCACAACCTACCTACCTACCTGCTACCTGCTACCTGCTACCTGCTACCTGCTACCTGCTACCTGCTACCTGCTACCTGCTACCTGCTACCCACCCACCCCCCGAGCCACCAAGACCAAGACGGCCTCTACATCACTCACGAGTCACGGATAGCAATCTCGCTCGCTCTCAAGTGGCCAGGGAGCAAGGGAGCGAGCGAGCTGGTAACCAACTGCTCGTCTTGCGGGCCTTCCTACAATTCACAACGAACAAATCGGATTGGCAGACGGAGAAGCACGAAACCAAACAGCAGAGACTCGCAGCTCGCAGATACGAACGAGAGAGGTACGAAGGAGGCTACAAGGGCTGTCGTCGTCGAGACGGGGACCCCAGATTACGATCATGTTTTACGTGTGGGCTTGCTGCATACGGATGACGGTGGCTTTTACGACTGGCGCGCGCGCCCTCGTGGCTCCATCCACCGCTGCAGCCCTTTATTTATTCTCTTTGGGGTCTTGTATCCATGCATGATTGATCCTCCTCGGCCTCGGTCTCGGTGTCGGTCTCCAGACGGCTCGGCTTACACACACACACACACACACATATATATGTGTATATATATATAGATATGGATTATTCGATGCACATGGTGCGAATTGCGATAACGATATATGAGCGGCATCGTGGACGGAAGTCTATAGCTAAGGGATGAGGATAGGGATAAAGATAGGGCTGAGATGAGATGAGATGGCTTCGCGAATCGCAATGGACGGGTCGTATCGTGTCGTATAAGAAAAGGGGAACGATGAGATGAGATGAGAAAACGGGCTGCAGGGCGGAGGGTTGGCTGGACAGGAGAGGAGACGAGAGGGAAGGAAGGCTGACCGGCGTGGTCGGTCAGGATTTTCGCACCTATCATCCATCATCCATCCCCAGAGACCGGCGACCTCGATGAACATGAACACTTGAACTCTCAGACACAAGCAAGATATGATTCCCGAAATAATGCGTCGGCAAGGATAGGAGGCTTCGTATCCGAACCCGAGCCCTAATATCGACGTCGGCAGCTACCACGGCCGAAATGTGCGTTGCGCATGTACTTGCAGGTCGTCGATCCGGGAGCGGAGTGTGGATCGATGATGGTCAGCTCAAGTCAATGAAATGCATACATGCATGCATGGATACATTGCATTCCATGGCAAGCACAGTCTCCCCCACGCCGACATGTGCCACGGCATATATGAATGAATATATGCATAGGATACACGGGATTCCAAAGTACGCGTCAATGATTTCGCTTGTGGGCGAGGGGATCATGTCACGAGGCCCAGTACGTGACATGGCCAATACACATATATTGCGGCTGGAGACACAGCACATCAGTGCCGCATCAAGAGCCAGAACTTGTACCCAGTCCCACATCCAGACCCTGGCCCTGATCCGAAGAGCAGGTACAGAGTGGTAGGACAAGGCCGGTAGGTTGCATTCAGAACACAGGTGCGGGTGCTACGGAGGCTGATCGCGTTCGGCTGGCTGGTAGTGCTGGGTCCTATTTTGCTCGCATCCCATTCTAGGCACACAATTGCCCTCTGCTCACGACCTTATTCGAGTCAACTGTCCCTTTAATGCTCGGATCAGACCAGAAAGCCGCATCGCATTGCATTGCAGCATGGAAAGGGTAAGATGAACCCATCGTGGGATCTGGGACCGAGGTGTCAAACTCAAAATCAAAACAATTCTCGCTAACGCCTGTCACCCTCTCTCTCTCTCTC